TTTTATAAATAAGAAAAATTCTTATTTCATATTTTCAAAACTTATTTAGTTATTAATTTTCATTTTTAGATATATTCATAAATACTTTCCTTTTTTAATTTTGATATATATTTTCAAAATTTTAAATGTTCTACTTTCTAATAAATAAATAATTACAAATTATTTCATCATAATTTTTTTAGTTTCTGTACTCAATTATTCTTAATTTTAATTATTTCTTGTTGTCAAATTCAAACTCATTCTCTTTATGTTTCATAATTAGCATTTAAAAAAACTGTCTTACCTTCACCTGTACTCAAATAATGCATAGTAAGAATGTTCTTAAAAATAGCTTTACAATAATGTCGAACACCCTATAAAAGTAAAATTAAAGAATTTTACATATATAGAAGAAATATAATTACATTTTAATATTACATTAATCTTATGTAAAATTTAAATATAACAGATTTCAATTTGCTATATTTCATATTATGAAGAAAAACGAATAGCCTTATGCAATATTAATTTTATATATTTGTAAATTTGTATAAAAGAACTGTTTCAAAAAATGTGCAGATTTATATTTAATTAACACACAAATCTATAATAGATATAATGAATCCGGATATAATTTATTGTAACGTATGAAAAACTAATATGAGAAAAAAAAAAAAATGTTAAAAACTGCTTAAATTATAATGGTTTAAAAGTATATTTGGCATAGCATAAATCAGGCATATTGCAATTTAAAGGTCATCTGGAGATAAAATAACACTTTAAAAATTAACATGTAAATATAATTTATAAACAAAATATTTTATTTATTCAGAAAAACCAAAAAATATTATCCTCATTTTGCAACAGTAATAGAATAGAATTAATTCTTTCTAAAGTCAAAACATAGACAAAATATAAATGGAATCAATACAAAAGAAATAAAATGTTTTAATATATATTTAAAAATACTACTTAAAGCAAAATTACATTTTCAAGTAAAGAAAAAGCTAGAAAAAACTAGAAGAGAAAATAATAATAATAGTAATTTAATAGAAAACTAATAAATGCAAAGTGTGAACAAATAGTTTTGAATAAAATAATAGAAAAATGCTTCAACAAAGCTTCTAGAAATCAGACTTTTAATCATTTTTAAAAATATATACAGTAAAATACTTTAATGCTGTAATAATTTATAAAAATATATACTATTATTATCAATAAGTTTATTTAAATTTACTGTTCTTTTTAAAATAGTTCTTAAAAAGAACTTTAGCTCAAAATTTTTTCAAATAATCATGCAGACATTCACAATTGAAATTTAAATAAATTAAATTTTTAACTTCCTATTATCAATTTGTCATTCATATTAGATAAATTGAGAAAATCAAACTAACTCATTGATTTTTTTATTACTGATCAGTTTATGATATATCTATAAGTTCAGTTTAATATCTGTATTATTAACAATATGAATATCAGTTTGATAAAATTGCCAGGCTAATAATTGTAAAAATTCACAAATATATAATACAGTGATGCCTCGTACAACGTACTTAATCCATTCCAGGTGCACATCCGTTACGTGAAACGTCCGTTATAAGAAACGCATTTTCCCTTAGAAATACATGTTAAAACATATAATTCATTCCGCAGCATAAAATAACTATACTGTGCCATAAAAAATGAAAATGGAGCAGACACCAATTATGCTGGGTAGTCAGATGTTGTGAGGAGGAGGTGGAAGAACATTTCTTCACACATTCATACAGATACAGACTTTTTACACATTGCAGCGGGTCTTTTTTTATTGTTATTTAATCGGAGTCAGATTCAGGAGGGGCTACCGGAACTTGCAGGGTCAACTTCTCTTGTTNATTATTAAAATAATTTTAAAAATTATCAATAAATAGAGCATTGTTATGCATTGTTATTACAATTTAAATGAAATGTTATATCATTACATGATTAGAAATATAATACACTATAATAAGTTTTGTGTTTGTTCATAGATTTATAGACTATCTTAAAACTTTAATAATTCATGATTTTGTCTTACTGACAAAATGTACTAAATAACATCAACTATTCGTAATCCATCATTGTTTATTAGAGCCTTAAAAGATAGATTCAGATTTGAATCTGGACTTTTGTACAACAAAAAAACACTGCAAAAGCTATAAAATAATATAAATACTCACAAACACCTTTCATACTGGTTCCAGCAGATTTGTTTATTGAAAAAATAAATGTTTTCAATCACTTTCAGATATCTTTGTCAGGTTATAATATGTTTCCATAAATTGAATGCTATTACTTGAACAACTGTTCAAATATACTAGAGCTTTTCTTTTTTGCTACACTTATTACACCATCTAATGGTATAATAAGACTAGCAAAAAAGAAAAGCCATCATAGAGCTATTGGGTTGTTCAGAAAGTAATTTCGTTTTTTTTTTTACCACTAGACGGATTAGTCGTATTTTTCCCACCATTTTCATTTTAAATCGTCTTATCATTATATATTTTGACAGATAGCATTTTAAGGCTTATTTGTAAAAAATTTTGTTTGATTTTGTGCAATTATTTATTTTTTGTGTCCCATCAAATATGGAAGATCGAAATCAGCATTTTTTGCATATTTTGCTCCTTTATTACCGAAAAGGTAAGAATGCTGTTCAAGTGAGAAAAAAATTGTGTGATGTATATGGAGAAGATGTATTGACAGAACGACAGTGCCAAAACTGGTTTACAAAATTTCATTCTGGCAATTTTAATATTGAAGATGCACCACGTTCTGGATGACCAGTTGAAGCCAATGAAAACAAAATAAAGGTACTGATTGAAGCAAACTGCCGAATAACAACACATGAAACCACTAAGAGATTAAATTTGTCAAATTGAACTGTTTATGATTACTTGAAACGAATTGGTTTCATTTCAAAGTTTGATATATGGGTTCCACATGTTCTTAAAGAGAGATGCTCTCTTTGGTAGGATTTTAAGGAAATTTTTTTTGGAGCTTTTACCAGACAATTTACCAATTGATTTGAAAGTGTACTCCCATCAAGTAAACAAATCGAGTAATATCATCAAACAGAAAAGGCAGCCAGAATTGATCAACAAAACAGGTGTAGTGTTTTATCATGATAATGTCAAATTTCATACAAGTTTGGTAACTCGTCAGAAACTGTTATAACTTAGATGGGACATGCTATCAAACCAACCATATTCACCAGATCGAGCACACTCAGATTATTACTTGTTCCGGTCTATACAAATTTTTTTTAACTGTAAGACATTTACTTGAAATGACAATGTCAAAAATCACTTGGATCAATTTTTTGCAAGCAACGATTAAAACTTTTATGAATGTGAAATCATGCTACTACCAGAAACAATGACAACGGGTATTTGACCAAAATGGTCGATATATAATTCAATAAAATATTTATTTACTATAAAAATATTGTGTTTTTTCCACGGAAAAAAACGAAATTACTTTCTGAACAACCCAATAGTATATTTGAACACAAGACTAGACAAGAAGCATATTACAGAAATCATTGAACAACTGTATAAAAAAGGAACATTCTATACACAACATGATGATATTCAAATTCAAAAAATAAGCAGATCCATTAACAAATATTTTCTAATAAATGGACCAGCTGGAAGCAGTATGAAAAGTATCTGTGAGTAATTTTATTCAATGTTCAACCTATTTTCAAACCAATTTTCTTCAATTTTGTTATAAATGTTTACCAACAAAATAAATTTATGCACATTCATATGTTTCCACAATTAAGATTTTATCCTACATATCAACAAGAAATTATGTTTTAATTATTATGTAATGTGCATACATCAATATACATAGTGATAGAAAAAAAATGGATCTAACTCTCCTATATGTAGATATTATACATATACATTATTACATTATATACATTATTGTATCAATCATTCCTAGTATTAATAACATATTATAATATTTGACATTAAAAAATATATTTTTTTCAATTTTTGGAATGTATTCATAATGACATAATACCTTTTTGCTAAGCTATACTGTGACTTTCTGTAAATTACAAATATTTGTTTCTTCATATTATGATTCATCACAAAACCTTTTATATTTTACATTGAGTAATTTAAACATACATATAAGTATGTACAATAATATTCAATGTACAGTAGAACCTCCATTATCCGGACCTCCATTATACGGATTTTCGATTAACCGGATTGTTCAAAATAAACAAAAATTTTACGAATTTGCTGATTTGCACTTGGCGAATTACGACACTGTTTATGCACGTGATGGAATGCATAACTTTTTTTGTCTCACCCAGCACAGTGGTCGTAAACTCTTAAATATATTTTACGTAGTAATAAAAATATAACTTGACATACGTATTTATAAATTAATTATATTCAAATTACATCATTTCTATGACCAAGGGCGGCGTAAGGCATGGGCAACGTGGGCCACCGCCTATGCCTCACGGTCAGAAGGGCCTCGCGTTTCGAAGGTTTATCCATTACTTAAAAACCGCGAACGCGACGAAAAAATTTTACTCGTCATAAAACGATAAATAGTTTGTCAAATTTTTATTCATAAAAATGCAGTTTCAACTGCTT